AGCTGATTACCGAAATTTATACTTCTTTTTTCAGCCGATGTTATGAGGGTACCACTTGTGGAAAAGATTATTTTTTACCTAGTAACAATTTTTTAAATGTTCCTTCATGGCTGAATACTGGAAATTTCTTACTCTCAGCGTTCAGTTCTGCTTTGTTTGTAGGTTGAAATTGGTACAGTGGATGTATTATTCTTTATAAAGTTTTCGAAAAGCTTTTCACTTTACAATAATTTAACTTTTTTAAAGTTCTTTTTGTTCTAGTAACAAAATAACCAATTTAGGCAAACATCATCATTTTGCAAAATGTCAACGACAAAAATAATCACATGGGAAATGTCTCTTTCGTGAGGAAGGTAATCAGCTTTCGAGCAACTGTTAAATTATCCCATATCTCAATGTAGTCTGATTCTACGACATCCTTGACCTTTAATTTTTAAGGATTATATAGTACGTTATGTGCACATTACTGATTAGAAATCCTGTCCCAGTTATAGATACGTGTGCCTCATTGTTGGTAGCCTTTGCCACTTTTTTTTGATCCAGTACAATGATGAGCAGTTCTTCACACGCAGAACTCCCCGCTGTAACTGAGGCTTTTCAAAATTTTCTTTACAGAGATCTTCCATCATCTCCTGCTCTAATCCCTTAAGATAAACATAAGAGTGTTGATTCTGGGAATAGTCATTAGCAGAGTAATGAACACCTTCCGTATTCTGAAAATCCGAGTCCTTTACGTTTCGTAACATCCTGCAGCCCAGTGAGAATACCCCCATCATCAATGCCTAGCTTTTAAGTACATTTTGTTGTTGTACCACTAGCTGATCTAATGACCTAACATTACCTTCATGAAAAGAGTCCCAATGAGTAGACGTTTTCACGATGGAAAGAGGTAATATTTAAATTGTTAAAAATAGATGGTACCAGAGGCAGAGAAGGGAAGAGGGAAGACGATGATTGACCACAAAAAAATAGATTGGCCACGCCGCTTGCCTTGTAAGCGTATGAACAATTCGGCTTTATGCTCTCCTCTTCCCCTCCCCTCCTCTTACCTCCCCCTTTTCTTCCACCTCCCATCTAATATTCCCACCTTAAAACTCTCCATCAACAGATAATGATGCAACATGTGCGAAAAGTCCAGTTTCAGTTAGGCTTTAATTATGTCAGTTTATTTAGAGTCTTTTCTTTCAGGCAACATATGTCGATCTCCAATAGCTGAAGCAGTGTTTTTAGACATCATAAAGAAGCGAGGATTAAGTGATCAGTAAGTGGCATAGATGGATTAGACATACAGTTATTCCAAGGAAGCTTTCAGATGGTACGTCGAAAGTGCCGCTATTATTGACTACCACAGCGGCAAGCCTCCGGACCCCCGTGCTATGAAGACTTTGGAGAAGTTTGGGATTACCGATTACAAACACAAGGCGAGAGTGGTAAGATGTCAAAAATCTTGAATGGCATCAAGATAGTGCAAGCAGTAAAAGCCATATTCAGACGACTACAGCCGATATACGCGACTTCGACTACATATTCGGAATGGATAACAGCAATATAAGGTGTTGTTGCCCTCCCAACTTATTACTAAAGTGCAACCTCTGTCCAATCGCAAGTTTATCTTCTCATTTTGATTCAGCGCCGAACAAATAGGCAACAAATTAACTACG